GGCGGGGGTAGGAGGGGGGCTGGGGACTTGGCCACTGCTCATGTACACCCCCACTGTGACCTCTGCCCCTCTTCTTTCCCCTTGAGGCCGTACCAGCTGCTCTTTCTCTCCCCTATGAACAGTCTAGCACAGTGGTCCCCAACCTTTTGAGGCTCCCGGGCACCCAGGGGCATGGCCGTTCGCCCACTGGGCGCCAGGGGGTGGGGATGTGCCGCAACCCAAAGCAGGGATAGCCCATGCACCTGGCGCCCAGGGCTGGCACCAGCATGTGCTATGTGTCCGGGGCGGGGGCATCCCAGTTTGTTCCGCGGGCACACATAAATGACCCGGCGGGTGCCATGGCGCCCGCGGGCACTGCGTTGGGGACCACTGCCCTATACAATAGCCAGGCTGGCTCTTCCCCATGAAATTACCCTCCTCTGTAGATCCAACAATATTTTTTTGCTACAGTTTCAGCCAGTTTACTGGGTACTGAGGTCAGACTTACTGTCCTGTATTCCTGGCATCGCCTCTGGAGCCCTTTTAAAAAAATGGTGCCACATTTCCTCTCTTCCCTGCGTTGGGGACCACTGCCCTATACAATAGCCAGGCTGGCTCTTCCCCATGAAATTACCCTCCTCTGTAGATCCAACAATATTTTTTTGCTACAGTTTCAGCCAGTTTACTGGGTACTGAGGTCAGACTTACTGTCCTGTATTCCTGGCATCGCCTCTGGAGCCCTTTTAAAAAAATGGTGCCACATTTCCTCTCTTCCAGTCACTGAGTACAGAAAATGATACAAATGATCGCTTACAGGTTACAGTTAGTAGTTCTGCTGTTTCACATGTGAGTTCCTTCAGAGCTCTTGGGTGAATACCATCTGGCCATGGTGACTTATTACTGCTTAATGTATCAAGATACCATCCTTGTCCATGTTGGTTAATAGCCATAGGTGGACCTGTCCATCCTCCATGAATATATCTTGTTTGTTTTAACCATGTTATAGTCCTGTATTTCACACTGTCCTCTGGCAAGGAGTTCCACAGTTTGATTGTGTGTTGCGTGAAAAACATTTTTGTTTCCTTTAAAACTGCTGCCTATTAAATTCATTTGGTGACCTTTGTTGCTGTGTTATGAGGAGGGGTAAATGACACTGTCTTAGAATCATATAGAATTATAGAATCATAGAAGACTAAGGTTGGAAGAGACCTCAGCAGGTCATCAAGTCCAATGTCTTGCTAAAACCTTCTCCCGATCTACTTTCTACACATCAGTCATGATTTTACAGACCTGTCATATCCCTCCCCCCCAAGTTGTTTCTTTTGCAAGCTGAAAACTCCAAGTCTTATTAATAGCTCCTTCTGTGGCAGCTGTTCTGTTTCCTTGTCCTTTTTTGAACCTGTTCCAATTTCAATATATCTTTGTTGAGATGAGCCATGACGGTCAGGGATGCAGCCCATGCTCTGGGGGGACTCAAACCCTCACCTGCAAGAAGGCTGGAGGTGGTGATGAAAGATGGATGTTTTGTTCTCAGCAGTCCCTTTGGCAAGTCCCCTCCTGGCTCTCCTGTCATTTTTTAAACAGAGGAGACATTTCTCCCATTCACAGCAGCGATCATTAGGCAGCAGCAAAAGGCACAAATATCCACTTCTGTCCAAAAAGTGAGGATGTGAGAAGCAAAGAAATGTGCGGGGGAGGCAAATAGAGAGGTCCCTCCTCTTGGGGGTGGCACTCAAGCCATCAGTGATAGCCTCCTGAAACTTGAGGAGACTCTCGCAAGACTGAGTGACAGGCGACAGACTAGCAAGGGGGTGGGTGTGGGGCTCAGTTGAGCACCTAGGGGTCTCCAGTGTTCTCTTTGGCGTTCTTCAATGTGGTGCCTGATGAGGTGGGGGGCGGGCTTGTGCTGCTACCTAGAGGTGTGGTCCTGTAGCACAGCAGACAGAGACATTGTTTGAGCTAGACTTGGGATGGAAAAGAGAGATTCTCTGCTCCCCCCCATTAGAAAAATTCAGACGCAAACTAAAATGGATCATTTTTCTCTGACTGTGACGGAGTTAAAGCTGGTGCACAGGAAGCCAAGAAACTGAGACTCCCTGAGGGCCAAGTGGCCCCAAGGGAAGGTACAAACATGCTGCATAAAGGCAGCTGCCTCCCTATCTGAACACACACTGCCTGCTGCCCGTGCAACCTCTCCAGTGACTCCTTGTTCTTCACGGTGAAGACCTCTGGTGCCAGCGGCTCCCTTCTAGCAGGAACTGGGTACGTGGGCAGGTGTCACTGTCTGTAACATGCCAAGTGCAGGGCGAAGGCTGAGGACTCAGAGTAGCAGCTGTTCTGTGCAGCAGCAGAGGACTCAGAGGGGTTGTCGGGGTGACTCAGTGATGGGGCTGGAGGGCAGGCAGAACTAGGGAGCTTTGGATCCCTCCCCTCCATCTGCCCATGAACCTTGATGGGATGCTGAAGCGAAATCTGAGATTCAAAGTGAGCTGAGGGTGTTAAAACTCCCAAGTCAGGATTTCTCAAGTAGTCCCATTCCTAGAGGTGCTGTGTGCTCTGCACTCTGGGCCTCATTCAAGCAAGAGGACCCTCCACTGAATATGAGTGGCTAGTTCCCAATTTGCTTCAGGTTTATTTGCTCCTGGAAATGTAATTACTAAATTCATTTTTCAGAGATTTTATTCTCTGGCTCAGTGGTGAAGGCAGGAACTCAGAGCTGTGTTGCTCTGTGGTAACAGTCTCCACAGGGCTCCAGTTCTTCTGCCACAGATACTCCTCATTGTTGAAGGGCTACTGGCATCTCTGCCCCTCTCTTCTCTTCGAGTGCCAGATATTGGGCCTCGGACCTGCCTTCCTATGGGGTGGAATCGCATGATGCTCCCACCCTATGTCTAGGCCAGTGTGGGTCAGCTGTGCTTGCACAGAAGTTTGGGTGAGGACAGCCCCTGTGTTTCCTCCTTTTCGGGAGTCTGTGAGTAGTGATGAGACATGTGACCAGCTAGTCTTCCTGAACCAAAGTATTGTGGAATCTGAACAGCAGGA